TTGTTTTGAACCTGTGGAGCCCATTGATGGTTTCCTAGCCTCTCTGGGCTCGAGGGGGGCTCACAGAGATGGTGAGAGGAGAGGAAGGGTATCACTTGGCCAGCACCCTTCTAGCTGGCCTCAAGGGCTCTGGATGCAGCAGATACTGAAAGCTGCCCCTTTCTGTCTTGGGACGCTGTTGTGGACTATGGAGATGGCCATGGCTTCAAGTCCTTCTCACCTTTGACCTCAATGGATGCACCCTTTCTTTCCTGGGGGTCCCTTGCAATTCTTCTTCAATCTTGGGAATCTGACATCCAACTCCAGCTTCCTCTGCCGCCCTTCTGCCCCCCTAGGAGGCCCCACAGGACGAGGCCCAAGTTGGCTCCTGTAGCTGCTTTCTGCCCACGCTGGTCTATGGGAAGCACTCAAGCAGCCTTTCCCGGGGGCACCTGGAGGGTGGGCTGACCTCAGCAGACCCACTCTCTGGCTCCTACACCCACGCAGCCAGGCACCCTGTTTCTCCCCGCCTCTAGCTGCTCCTGCCCCCATCACACCACTGGGCCCTCATGGAGGGGTCACATGGTAAACTCTCCAATAGTCACCACCACCCAGAGGAGACCCCGTCATGCCCATTCCACCCTCCCGAGAAGATGATCACCAAAGGATTCCTTGCCCTTTCTTCCCATCACAGAACAGCTGTGGGCAAATGTAAGGAGTGATAATACATCCAGGGACGTGGGCCACATTTTAGCAGTTGTGGGCTGTCACTGTGCTCTTGAAAAGTAGTCACTGGCTGTCACAGCAGAAGTTTCGAGTCGCACTGTGCAAGGCACACCCACCTCCTGGGCCTCCGTTTCCTCATATCTTCATGGAGGTGACCGTACTACCCAGCCAGGTTGTCGTGAAGGCGGAGTGACACAGTGACTCGACAGAGCACTGCCGATGGACAGCCTGTGACTCCACAGTGACAGACCTGGAGCGCCATCTCTGTGTGTCTGTTTACGAGTGCTTTGCCTCGCTGGGTCTCAGTTTTCTCACCTCTCCAACGGTCCTCACAGGAGCCCCTCTGTGATAGCCTGTCTGTGGGGCTAGCTGGGTGGATACACACAAAGTGCTTAGCAAGGTGCCTGGCATTTGGCAAGAAGTTGATCCTGTTGGATGTTAATGTACAACGGAGTGTGGGCTGAGTGGGCTCTTAAGCTGGTACCTGTGAGGTAGAGGGTTGGAGTCTCCACCTCTCCCCGTCCCCTACCGTTCCCAGTCTTGTTTTGAAATGCATCAGCCGGGCTGGGGTGTAGAGCCCCCAGGGACAGAGAGGATGGACGGTATCTCCAAGCAGTGATGCTGAGTCATGTTAGAAAATCAATGTGTGACCAGAGAAGCACGGCTTGGCTCCCACCTCTTCTGGGAAATCCATGCAGCTGGCCCCGGGCACATGGAGAGTGGACAGCTCTATTCTAGGCCCTGACTTTAAGGCTTCTGAACAAAAGCCTGGCACACAGGAGTTCCTGGCTCCTCGAGGCACACCGAGCCCCTGGATCACAAGCTTCACACGACCCTCCGACTGGGGTCAGGCACGTCTGGCACTTGCCAAGCTCTCGACTTCTCCCAGCCCTCGTCTGGACACTTCTCAAGCCAAGTCAGGCTCCGGACCACTGATTGGGCAACCCATGACCTCAGACTGGGTCAGATCCATCAGCGGGCCATCTGTTTAAGGGTAGGAACACTTTGTTCTTTAGAATCTGATGGGCCAAAGAGTATGAACCGTCCCCACCACAACTCAAACCCCCAACGCTTCTATTTGTTAACCTTGTAACCGGGCAAGTTCTTCATCTCTGAGTTCCAGTTTTCTCATCTATCAAATGCAGACGAACAAGTACCTCCATGATCCAGGCTGTGGCGTGTTAAGAGGTGGCACACACATTGGCAGACACTCCATAAGGGGGAGTTATTATTTGTACAAAAAGGGGCACTGGACACCAAATTTGAAAAACAAGTACGGTAGGTACACACACACACGGGATGAGAGTATAGGCCAGGGGGCCAGACTGCCTGGGTTTAAAATCTGACTGCTCTACCACTTTCTGTGTGGCCACAGATAACCTCTTTGAGCCTCAATTTTCTTCTCTGTAAAATGGGAATAAAAATAACAAGGTTGTGAAAATTCAGTTAGATGACATGCGCTGGGAATAGTCCTGGCACATAACAATCACTCAATAAGCATCAACTATTTTTAATTTGTCACACAAGGGAGTGAAATCACACAGGTAAGGGTTTTTCACATTATTAACAGGGAAGGGGAGTCATATTTAGTGAGTGCCTGTTATGTACCTAGTACTCCCAGAAGCTATACATACATATACTAATATGTATATGTATACACACACAAACACACAGAGAGTGGAATATTTCTGTTTTCATTTTTAAAAACCTTTATATTGTAAAACAAACCACAGATGCAGAAAATCATACAAATTAAAATTTGTAGCTCAGGGAGTCATTTCAAGACATACACCTTTGTCATCACCACCCACGTCAAGAAATAGAATTTTGCCAGCCCCCCATGAGTCCCTCCATGTCCCAGTCACAGCCCTTCCCCTGAAAGTAACGACCACCCTGACTTTTATGGTAATTATTTCCTTGCATTCTCTGTGGTTGAATCATCTGAGTGCGCACCCCTAGCCATTCAAGCTTAGTTTTGTCCATTTAAAAAAACTTAATATGCCTTTTATGCCTCTTTCAATGCACAGGTTCCTCCCGCTATCTCTTTCTTTTCCTTGCAGTTTATCTGTTGAAGAACTCAGGCTGCTTGGTCTCTACAGTTTCTCAAAGTCTGGATTTTGTCAATTGCATCCTCATTGTACAGTTCAGCTTGGCCCTTTGACTTCTGCATTTCCTGTAAATTAGCAGCTGGATCAGACCCAGGTTTCATTCCTTTGGCAGGATAGCAGGTGGTTCTGGGTTCTTTCATCAAGAATCATGTACATGGCTGGAGTCTCTCTCTCTCTCTCTCTCTCTCTCTCTCTCTAGCTAGGTACATGATTTTATAGCAGGCTGCAAAATGGCAATCATTTTGTTTTCACTTATTAACTGTAATAATTTTTGTAATCCTTAACTGATGACATGTTTTTATTGTTGTTGTTGTTGTTGTTTTTGTGTGTGTGTTTTTAGAGAGAGGGGAAGAGAGGGAGGAAGAGAGAGAGAAACATTGATGTAAAAGAAAAACATCGATTGGTTGCCTTCTGTATGCGCCCTGACTGGGAATGGAACCTGCAACCTAGGAATGTGCCCCGACCAGGAATCACTTGGTCGGAATCGAGCCTGGGACCCTTCAATCCGCAGGCCAACGCTCTATCCACTGAGCCAAACCAGCTTTGGCAAGAAGTTGGTTTTCTTAACCTATTATTTGGTTACCCAGTGGTATAATTAATATATAAAAAGTAGAATACTTGCCCAGCCGGTGTGGCTCAGTGGTTGAACATTGACCTATGAATCAGAAGGTCACGGTTCAATTCTGGTCAGGGTACATGCCCAGGTTGCAGGCCTGATCCCCTGTGGAGGGCGTGCAGGCGGCAGCCGATCAATGATTCTCTCTCATCATTGATGTTTCTGTCTCTCCCTCTCCCTTCCTCTCTCTGAAATCAATGAAGGCATTTTTTAAAAAAGTGGAGTAATTGATTCTTTCCTTTTATTTACCTAGTTTTTAAGAATATAATTTGTTTCTATGCCATCCTCAGAAGGTGATCAATTAGTATTTTTGCTGAATATTAACTCTTTTTTTTGCTGGTTTTATGAACTCAGGGATTGAAACATATTTGATGAGTTTCAACCAATTGCAATGATCTTTGTTGCAGCTGAAATTATCTCATCTTCAGGCTGGTTTCCAAGTCCTTTTGATGTGACCCTAGTGCCTTTGATAGCTTCTCTGTTATCAAGTATGACAAGACATTCCAGGCTCCTCTTGTACACAGTATCTGTAATCAGCAATTTCTCTGAGAGGTCCCTTTATGTTTTTAAATAGAAAATAGCATTTCAAGACTAAAATCTGAGTGTTAGATATGCTCTTTGCTACTAGATTAGTCATTCTTTCTAGGCCTTTCTAGGTATGTTATATATACAGAATATATATTAATGTATACATGTGTATATGTGTATGATGTATTCATACATACTAGTATACATTTCTTTCCAAAAATAAAACATCTCTTGAATTCATACTGATATTTCCAATGCAAATACAGCATTTTGGGGCTTTTAATTAACTTCTTCTGTATTACATCTGCAGCTTCTTTCTTTCACACAGGAGATAATATTGAAAGATTCTGTAATTGCTGATTTTCACACAATCTAGCATCTCCCTGGCCCTCTTGCCCCTGGGGTGGGGAAAGGAAGGAATGAGGTCATCTCTTGGGTACTCCTTTGGGTTTTGAGTCCTCCCAGACTACAGCAGGTCTCTCTCCAGAAATGGTTTGGCGCCTTTACTCTGCCTGATAGAGGGACCTAGATTTCTCTCAAAGCCGTAGCTATGTTGGTGGGCCTGGGGATTTTAATGGACAGGGGTTGAGGCCTAGTAGAACCTTATTCAACTTACCACTCTCACAAAGGGGACTTCATGAACCCCAAAGCAGAAAAGAATCCTGGAATGCTAATCCCGAAATCTAGGTTTAAAGCCATTTACTCCATTGATTGCCAGTTTCCCTTTCATGAAAGTTTCCATAAATATGAGGATTTAATGAGACAATAAACGTCACACACCAGGCGCACGGTAGCTATGTTCTAGGAAACGGCAGCTTCTTCCTTCCTTCTCTGGGCCTCAGTTTCCCCAGCTCTCCCACCTAAACTTGCTGGCATTCCCCCTCCTCCCAGCCAGCCTCGCCCTGGCTCCTGTCCCACCGCGCGGATTCCGGCCGCCAGGTGGAGCCAAAGACCACACCGCGGCCAGACATGCACATGCGCACTGACGGCGCTGCCGGTCTTCGCACGCCCTGACGCGTCACTTCCGGCGCGAGGGGCGGGGCCGGGCCGGCCGGGAGTGCGGGTCGTTCTGCGCGTGCTGCCGGACGAGGCTCCCGCCGCCGACTGACCCGCGCTCCGCCCCGTAACCGGGCCGGTGAGTGCCCGCGAGCCCGTCCGTGGCCCTGGGGGCCGGGGGAAGGGACCCTTGAGAGGGAGGGATAACCGGAAGTGGGGGACTCGAGGAGCGAGACCCCAGGCAATGGGGACACCTGGGGAAGGGGTGACAACCGGAAGGGGGGGTCTCGAAAGGCTGCTGCGGGACGTAGGGTCTGTGGGGCCCCAGGAGCGATGGCATCCTGACCTCTCCTTGCTTGGGGGGCGTGGGGATGAAGGTGGTGCTCACAGGGTGATGGACTCAGGTGAGGAAGCTTCATGGCTCCACCCTAACGAGTGGGGTTTGCACTCCTCCCTGTTCCCCCATCAGCTCTGTGCCTGACAACTGCCCAGACCCTGGAGACTAGCCCGAGGCTCCGGGGAGTGCAGAGCCCGCCGGGTGTGTGCCCCCGGGCACATCACTTACCTTCACATCAGCCGCTGGTGGTGCTGAGCTCCCTCACGGGCCAGGCACTGGGGCAGCGGTTCTCAACCTGTGGGTCGCGACCCCTTTGGGGGTCGAACGACCCTTTCACAGGGGTCGCCTGAGACCATTGGAAAACACATATAGAATTACATATTGTTTTTGTGATTAATCACTATGCTTTAATTATGTTCAATTTGTACCAATGAAATTGGGGGGTCACCACAACATGAGGAACTGTATTAAAGGGTCGCGGCATTAGGAAGGTTGAGAACCACTGCACTGGGGAGATCTGTGAACATGCCAGGCAAATGGTCTGCCCCCGTGGAATTTACATCCTAGTGGGCAGTTTCCTCCCATTGTAAATGGGAGGAGTAATAGAGCCGGCACCAAATATAGTGAAGATTAAAAGGAAAGTTCTTATTCACCACGGTAAGCCCGATGCATGGTAAAATGCTCATACATATTATCGCTTCATTATTTCACTGTAAGTTAAACTTCCTAAGACAAAGAATTATATTGTTCGCTGTTGCATGCCCAGTGCGTGTGAGCACAGTGCCTGACTCATGGGGTAGGTGATCAGTGATTACTTGATAATGAAAGGCTGGTGAAGCAGACCCTGCGGAGTGTATGTCATAACACTGGACTGCCATTTCTGAAAGAAATAGGTGCTGCGGAACACTGGAGGGAGTCGCCCTAGGGAACCAGGGAAGGCTTCACAGAGGAGGTGACATTGAAGCTGGGTCTGGAACGTGATGAGTTGTCTGGGTGGGGACAGACAAGGAGAGGGAATTCCGGGCAGAAATATCATAAATGCATGAGGTGTTCTGAGAATGGTGGGACATTGGTTGGTTTTGACTGGCATTTACTATGCGTTGAGAGGTGGGAAACTAGGAGACGGGCGGGAGAAAGACACTGAGGCTGGGGCATGGACGTGGACATGACAGTCTTCCTCCTGGGTAAGCGCTGGATTGCGATTACAGGCATCTGTTGGTAACTCCCATGGAAACAGAGTCCAGGGTGGATCCTATGAATCTGCTTGTTCCATTCCTTGCTCAGCATACCTCTGCCAAGCAGATTAAACTCATTCAACAAATATTTATGGAGCTCGGACTGTGTGCCTGGCACCCTGTTAGGTGCTGGGTTTAAGGTGATGAGCAAGACAGTTGTGAATGTTGCTCACAAATTGCCTACAGACAACAGTGGCGTGGGAGAAGTGCTGTGTCAGAGAGCTGTGGGAAGGCTCCTAATCCGACCTGGAGTCCGAGAAGGCCTTCTGCTTCAAGCACCGTCATCTCTCACCTGGGTTAGTGCAGCGGCCTCTAAATGGTCTCTTCACTTCCATCCTCATCCCCTTCCGGTCCATTTGCAAGACAACTGAATAATCCTTTTAAAATATAAATCTGGTCATGTCACTCGACTCAAAACCCTCTGGGCTCCCACCAAACTTAAGGGCAGCCTTATTGGCCTACAAAGCTCTGGACCAGTGGGTACCTCTCTAAATTCACCTGCTAGTACTCTCTGCCTTGCTCACTTGGCTCTAGCCACACCGGCCTCTCTGTTCCTCGAAAAAGCCAGGCAGATTCCTGCCTCAGACTTCACCCTTGTTCCCCCAGATACCTACCTACACAACTTGCTCCCTCGTCTCCTTTGTCTTTGCTCCATTGTCACTTGGGTGAGGCCTTCCACGACCACCCTATTTACAATTGCAACTCCTGTCCCCAGATACATTCAACCCCCTTCCTGCTTTATCCCTCTCCATAGTGCTTATGGAGAATATATAGTTTATTTTGCTTATAGTGCCCCCCCCCCCCCCCAACACACACACACTAGTATCTAAGCTCAATGAAGGCAGGATTTTATATTCACTGCTGCATCCTCAGTGCCTGGAAGTGGGCCTGGCACATAGTAAGTGCTCAATATTTGTTGAATGAATGAAGTGGCATCTAATTGGAACTTAAGGATGAATCAGTCAGGTGATGAACTAGAGGAAGAGCATATTAGTTGGAGGAAACAGGATGTGACAAGACAAGAAAACACCTCTGGGAGGAAGTGAAAAAAGCTGGGTAGGGCTGGTGGTTAGAATGCAAGGAATGGAATGGGCAGACCTGAGATACAAGGGAAGTAACCTAGCCACAACAGCTGCCGTGCACTTGCCCGTGGCTGGCTACATGCAGAGACCCCTGAGGTGGTCCCTGCCTTCCTCAAGCTCCAGGGGTTCAGTGGCAGCCCATGGACAAGAGCTTGGGCTTTGGAACTGGACAGCCCTACTGCTATCTTATTCTTGGAAAATCTAAGGCAGCCGTTTTTTGTTTCTGCTTTTCACTTGATAAGTGTGTTGGTTCTGGTCTTCTAAGAAGCAGAAACTAAGATGAGATTAGACACTCAAGAAAGCCATTGGCAGCAACGCCCATGAAGCATAGAGGGAGGGGAGCTGGCCCTGTGGAGGAGGTTTGGGCAGTAAGACTCCGACTGCACGCAGGTCCATGAAAGGGTCGGCTGGCCAGGAGGATGGGGAATCCCCGAGGCAGAGAGTTACCTGATAGAGGAGTCCCATGTCTCAGTCATTGGCTGGGGGCCAGTCTGTGCAAAGTGTGGATCCCCTGGATGGCGGATCCAGGGGGAAAGCAGCTGGGACATCCGTCAGTTATGCTTCACCCAGCAGGAGATCTGATGAGTTCTGTTTCATGACCACCATGATAAGTCACATTGCATATGGTAAAAAAAATTCAAACAGTGCAGTAAAAAGCCTCTCCCGCCTCAAACATCCAGTTCTCCAGTTGTTCTCTGGGAACCATTGGCAACAGTTTCCTGTATCTCTTCTCAGAAATTTTAGGTGTATTGACAAGTGTATATATGTATATATTTTAGAAACATAAATGCAATTATTTTTATTGATTTCAGAGAGGAAGGAAGAGGGAGAGAGGGTTGGAAACATCAATGATGAGAATCATTGATTGGCTGCCTCCTGCATGCCCCCTACTGGAGATGGAGCCTGCAACCCAGGTGTGTACTCTGACCAGGAATCGAACCCTGACCTCCTGGTTCATAGGTCGATGCTCAACCACTGAGCCACACCTGCTGGTCAAACACGACTATTTTATATACATTGTTCTGCGACTGCTTTCCCCCCTCAGCATATCAGCTTATAAGTTCTGCCTGATTTCCATGACTGAATAGTATTCCATTCATATAGTGATATTACTTAACCAGCCTCCAACTAGTAGGCAGTTAAAGTGTTTCCAGGTTTTTGCCATTATAATCCCACCACCTTTTGGTGTATAGGATGACACTCTAACCAACTGAGCCACCCGGCCAGGGCTAAATTTTGATAGATAATGACAGACTGCCATCCAAAGAGGCTGCCTAGCTTATTCTCCCAACAGCAAGCATATCAGAGAACCCATTTTGCATTTTGCCCGTCTGAATTTCAGAGTTGTTTTAATTCACATTTCTTTAATTACGAGTTACATCGAGCATCCATGCATACATCTGTGAGCAAAGCCACGGTGTTGGATGAGGAGTGTGTGTTTCCTGCTGTAGGTCTGGGTGCCTCCGTGGAGATTCTAACTTAATTCAGCCTTTCAGATCCAGGTCACCCCTCCACCCCAGTTGAGACCCAGTGCTCTGAGGTTACTTGGCTTAACAAAAACGTTCCTGTCCCCCCGCATCAGCTGCCCTGGGGTTTGAGATGACCAGTTAATAATGCTGCACTTTATTAACTCCGCTTGGGGCATCTGTTTTGACAGGCACCCTGGTAGCTAATGTCAGAAGAAAGTGACTCTCTGAGAACTAGCCCTTCTGTGGCCTCACTTTCCGAAAATGAGCTGCCACCAGCACCCAAGCCTCCTGGCTACGTGTGCTCGCTGACGGAAGAACTGGTCACCAAGGCCAGGGAAGAGCTGCAGGAGAAGCCGGAATGGAGACTTCGAGACGTGCAGGCCCTGCGTGACATGGTGCGGAAGGAGTTCCCGAACCTGCGCACCTCTCTGGACGATGCCTTCCTGCTGCGCTTCCTCCGAGCCCGCAAGTTTGATTATGACCGGGCCCTGCAGCTCCTGATCAACTACCACAGCTGTAGGAGAAGTTGGCCTGAAGTCTTCCATAACCTGAAGCCGTCGGCCTTAAAAGATGTCCTCGCTTCCGGATTCCTCACCGTGCTGCCCCACACCGACCCGCGGGGCTGCCATATCCTCTGCATCCGCCCAGGTATTGCCCTAGGCTGTTGCGGGGTGCTTGTGCACAGCCTCAGTTTGGGATGTGTCTGTCCAGCCCCTCTCCCCCTTTCCTTTTCCCTTTTATCCCCTCCATGTGTTAGTCAAGGCCTTTTGATGGCAGATAACAAACCCTACTCAACCCGGCTTACGATAAAAGGGAGGATTTAGTCTGAGGAGACAGGAGCATCTCACAGAACCAAGCCCACACCTGGAGCCAGGAGTCAAATTCAGTTTTACCCAAACTGCATGGTTAGCACGGGAAGAGGTGGTTCCCCAAGGAAAATCAGGGTGATGTCCTGAAGATAAAGGGACACATCTGATGGCAGAGGCATAGATGTCCATTAAGATAAGTACTATTGCCCTGGCTGGTGTGACTCAGTGGTTAGAGCATCATCCCACGCACCCAAGGGATGCGCCATCAAGGGCACGTACCTGGGTTGCAGGTCGATCCCTGGCCCTGGTCTGGGTGCATGTGGGAGGCAACTAATTGATGTGTCCCTTTCACATCGATGTTTCTCTCTCTCTCTTCCCCTTTCCCATCCCCTCCCTTTCACTTGCTCTAAAAATCAATAGAAAAAATATCCTCAGGTGAGGATTAGCAAAAAATAAAAATAAAATAAGTCCTATTATCCCATTCTATTTATGAGGCGATGAGGACTCAGAGTAAGGAAGTAACTTGCCCAAGGTGTAACTTCAGAGTTCACACTTTTGACTTCAACACAATTGCAATTTCCATTTCAAGAGTTAAGAAATGTCAGCTGCTGCTGAAGGTGTCCGATTTCCTAACCTCAATAGAGCCATGCCAGTAGAATATCATCTTGCCTTTCTGTTTTTAAAGGACAGTTTTAGCACAGAGATCAATCTTAGCCTGCCTGATTGTTTGTATGTATTTATATAACATACTGACCATCTCTTATGACCTTAGACAGATGGATACCGAGCAACTATCCAATTACCGAAAACATCCGAGTCATATACTTGACATTAGAAAAGCTCATTCAGTCTGAAGAAACCCAAGTGAATGGAATTGTAATTCTTGCAGACTACAAAGGAGTGAGCTTATCAAAAGCATCTCACTTTGGCCCTTTTATAGCCAAAAAGGTGATTGGCATCCTTCAGGTATGGCCCCCATTTGTCGTGTGCCTTTCTGTTGTTTTGGCTTTCCCAGGGCCCTGTCCAGTTACCCATGTGATATGCACACCCCACTTCCGGCTCCTACAATCAGAAAAATACGAAAGCATTGAAAGTTCTATTTACCACTCATTCCCCTGAGGGTCTCCAGTAGTTTCTGAGGTACCTTTAATCTAGGCAAGATCAGCTTTCGGACAAGACTCCAAAAACCAGAGAAATGTTTTCTGCTCTTTTTTGGGGGGTCAAGAAGACAGAGGAGAAATTCTCCTAACAAATGAAACTGAGAAATTGTGTTTCTGCCCGGCCGCCTGTGGGACCCGGGGATGGGGAGCACTGTTGGACTGTTTGGCCCGATGCTTTCACCCCTCAAGTTGTGTCTCAGAACACAAGTCACTGAGAACCGTCGGGTTCCTTATATATCTTCACAGGGTGTAATGGTTTGCAAAGCCCTTTTACGGTCATCATAACCCACTCAGTGCTTCAAGGAATCCTTTTAGATAGACAAGTCAAGAATTACTTTTCTTTTTCGGTCGGCGGGGAAACAGACCTAGCAGATACAGTGTGGCCCAAGTCTCTCCGGCTTGACTCCTAGCTCATTCTGACCCAGCCCGTGGGTGCTGGCTCTTTTGAGCTGCGGGGACCAGAGACAGAACAGTTCTCCATGTGTCTGAGGCCCTACTGTGCCCCAGGCTGGTATGTAAACATCCACGTCACAGTTGGTCATTATCAGAAGTTTGCATTCTGGCTTTGAGGCAGCGCTCTGGCTTTCCTTGGCTTCCACTCTTCTGATGCCTCCTGCTAAATCCCATGTAGATGTAAGGGTCAGCATAATGAGTTAGATTATTGTTTCCTGTAAGATGATCTGAGAGACAAAATTCCAGGGTTAAATAAATGTGGGAAATATGGTAAAGCAAGTCCCTTCCTTGTGAATGTAACTGTACAGTAAACATTTACATTTAAGGCTCTGAACAGTCCTGCAGTTAAAGAAAATCTGTTTGACTATATTTAGTTTGCTACTTCTCAAACTCATTTACCTACCTGGACACTTTTTTACATCACACCTGGTAGCCTCCCGAGAAATACACTTTGGGCAGCTCTGATTCAGGTCTGATACTTACTAGATCCATCCACATAGGCTCAGACCACTTTTTACCTTCCTGTTTAGCCCCTACTTGTGTTTCTTTGAGAAGACCTTGAGAATCAGACCAGACTGAAGAAGATTTCACTGGGGGAGGCAGGCTGTGGTAACTGACAGTTTGCAAATATTCCATGTGTTCTAAGAGTCTCATGCTCTACCGACTGAGCTAGCCGGGCGCGGTTCCATGTGTTCTAACATCCCCTTCCCTTCCCCCACAGGATGGCTTCCCCATTCGGATAAAAGCGGTCCATATCGTGAATGAACCTCGAATATTTAAAGGCATTTTTGCCATTATAAAACCATTTCTGAAGGAGAAAATAGCAAACAGAGTAAGTGATGATCCTACTAAAGATACTTTAATTTTGTTTCTGCTTCCTTATTGGTGACATCTATAAATTTAATTGTGACATCAGTAATCTTATCTTAGTTTATTATTCTTGCCCTGGGACTATTAATTTGGAAAGTTCAGTGAACAGTCCTTTCTGTGACGGGGAGATGAATAAGAATATAACATTTGACAATAGAGAGAGCAGAGCCAGGATTGTTATCTAAGAGCTTCCCTGCTCTGTAATCAATCAGACTTTTTCATATCCTGGGCTGAGCATTGTCAACCAACATTATATTTTACATGTAAGGGGACATGGAAAAGGGTCGTCATTGGGCAAGTGGTGAAGAAGAGTTATGGAGATTTCTCACGACAGCTCCTTGGGTTTCAAAATACTATTTAAGCCTTCCCATCTACCTAATCTGTTGTCCTGCTGTATAAAGTGTGTGGAATAATTCAAGGTTTATGAGGTAGGTGAGCTTTTAGCTTAACTCTTATTTAAGAACGGGTAAATGACACTTGAAAAGATGGGAGAGCCTTTTCCAGCACCAAGATTGAAATATGGTGGGTGGTAGTTTTCCCCTCCCTAGGCCTAGGAACATTGTGATCACTCCAAAGACTGGGACTTGAATTTTATATATATTTTTTATTTTTATTTTCAAAGAGGAAGCACAGAAAGACAGAATCTCAAGATTGCAAGGGAGAGAACTTAAAATCCAGATCCCCAGACCTTTTTCTGAAGACTTTTAAAAATTTTTTTTTACTGATTTCAGAGAGTCAGGGAGAGAGAGACAGAAACATCAATGATGAGAGAGAATCATTGATCGGCTGCCTCCTGCACACTCATGCTCTCCACTGGGGATCAAACCCACGACCCTGGCATGTGCCCTGACCAGGAATTGAACCATGACCTCCTGGTTCATAGGTCGATGCTCAAACCCTGAGCCATACCAGCTGGGCTCCCTGAAGGTTTTAATTCATCAGCTCAGGGGTACAGCCCAGGAATCTGTGCTTTTAAAATCTAGGAGATTCTGATGCACAGTTAGGTCTGAGAACCACTAACTTAGTGGCCTCCACGCCTGGGTTTGAGCCTGTGTTGGTTTCTGGAGCTCCTGTTTGGAACTTGCTTTTTCCAAAGCAGCCTTTGGGCCAAGTCTTCTTTTCACATCTGTGAAATGACCTTATTTGTGGCCCACAATCTTGTTCCTTTGGTCCTTCACATGTTCATTCATTCATTCAAAAATATTGATCAAATACTACATGTGAGTATGTTCTAGATCAGCCGTGGGCAAACTACGGCCCGCGGGCCGGATTCGGCCCATTTGAAATGAATAAAACTAAAAAAAAAAAGACCGTACCCTTTTATGTAATGATGTTTACTTTGAATTTATATTAGTTCACACAAACACTCCATCCATGCTTTTGTTCCGGCCCTCCAGTCCAGTTTAAGAACCCATTGTGGCCCTCGAGTCAAAAAGTTTGCCCACCCCTGTTCTAGATAAACAAAATAGACCAAATTCTCGGTCCCCAGGAAGCTTACATGCTAGGGCAGGGGTGGAAAACGTCTGGTCACAGGCCGTGTAAGGTCCACAGAATCATGTGGTCTGGCCCTGCCACGGCAATAGGGTGAGTCAAATGAATGTTTGACCAAATAGAGCAGGCTAATTTTTAAGTTAATAATTTTGTGTGGCCCGAGAATGATGTTATGAATATCCAAGTGGCCCTTGGCAGTAAAAAGGTTCCCCACCCCTGTTCTAGGGAGACATAGACAACAAATTACATGTTACCTGGTATTAGAATGTGATGAGTGCAATGGAGAAAAATGAAGCAGTGAAAGAAGTTAGTGAGTGTGGGAAGGGGGAAAGGGTTGTAGTATTCAATAGGGTGGTTAGAGGTAGCGTCATTGAGAAGTTGGCATTTGAGTAAAGAATTGAAAGAGGCAAGGGAATGAGCCTTACAGATCCCTGGGACCAGCAACAGCCCGATCCTGGGGTGGGAGCACGCCTGGCATACTGGAGGATCAGCAGCGGGGAAGCAGAAGGGGGAGGCAGGGCAGTAACGGGCGCTGGATCATATGGCCTTTGGCGTTTGGTCTGTGAGGGGAGCACTGGAGAGTTGTGCAGAGGAGTGACGTGATCTGACATCACTGAAATGAGCTTAGATTGTGGTGGGACAAGGGTGCAAGCAGGGAGACCAGGAAGGAGGTGTTGTGGGAGTCTGGGTAGAAACGATGGTGGCATGGTGCCATTAGGGTAGCAGTAAAGTGGTTGGATTCTGGGTATAGTTTGTAGGAGCAGCCAACAGGGCACTTGGTATAAAGAAAAGAAAATTAAGAATCCTCAAGCTTTTCAAGGAACTGGAGGGGTAGAGTTGCCATCATCCATTCCTTTATTCATTCAAGATATTTGAGCACATAGCATGAAGGAGGTGAGTGGATTACTGATTAACCTAAGGCCAGGTGTGTTTTCATTTCCTTCCCCTCTAGTTTTTCCTCCACGGGTCTGACCTGAACTCTCTCCACACAAACCTTCCAAAAAGTATTCTCCCCAAGGAGTACGGGGGCACGGCTGGCGAGCTGGACATTGCTGCCTGGAACGCGGTGCTGCTGGCCTCGGAGGAGGACTTTGTGAGAGAGTTCTGCCAGCCTGTCCCCGCCTGCGACAGCATCCTGGGGCGGGCCCTGCTTCCCGAGGGGCTGACCTCAGATGCGCAGGGTGATGACTCCATGCGGGCTGTGAAGTCACAGCTGTACTCCTGCTATTAGCCAGTCCCTTGTGAGCACCACCAGCTTTACGTCCTTCCCTTTTGTTCTTTGGGGAGGCACAGGAGGATTTCAGGTGCCATGGATTCTTGCTCCTTGTAATTAAGCTGCAGCAGGGAGGAAAAGCTGAGCGTGAGCGGAAGGGCATGCCCTGGATCACTTGAATTATTCCACGAAGACATGGAAAACGTTCCCAGTGATTCCCAAATTTGTGGAATCCCAGTTTGCAACCATTAATCTGGAAGTTGTTTCTGGTTCTTAAACATCTCAAAGCAGGAAGAATGAGGACCAAAGTCACTTTGATCCCATCTTCAGGAGAAAACAACCCGATTGGCCAGTCAGCACACTCCTGTGAAACACTTGGATCCAGCCTGCATGGTGGCCACATGTGAGACTTTAGGAGTTTGTGTCTCTCACATGAACCCTAACTCCAGACTTCTGTTGCTCATCAGGAATCTACAAGTTTTTGGCCCAGGTACCTGTTGCCATCATGGGTTTGGAAAGCACCTTGTCTGCATCGGGCACACAGCGGGACATCAGCAGCTTGACCGGGGACTTCCTGATCAAGTTCGGGAGCCAAGACTTCAAGCACCTGTGGGATTCATTGGTTGAATCTTGCAGTAGAAACTAGTTTTCCCAAATCCATAAAGCCTTAGTCCTGGTTCTCAATAGAATCATGCAAGGTCCTAGAAGTATATAATTTTATTCAACCTAAAATACTGGAGGCCAGGCCTGTGTAGCTAAAAGAATGCTGGCCTAAGAATTAAGAGACCTGAGCTCCAGCCTCAGATGTGTGGCCATGGATAAGACCTGGGCCTCTGTGAGCCTCAGTTTCCTCATCTGTAAAATGATGCTCAATGAAATGACACTTAGGGCCCTTTGGGCTGCTGAGGTTCTGGGGTTTGATTTAGTTATTGGATGTTAGACATTGCTTTTCCGCCTAGAACATTGGTTCTCAACCTGGGGGTCGAGACCCCTTTGGGGGTCGAACGACCCTTTCACAGGGGTCGCCTAAGACCATCGGAAAACACATATATAATTACATATTGTTTTTGTGATTAATCACTATGCTTTAATTATGTTCAATTTGTAACAATGAAATTGGGGGTCACCACAACATGAGGAACTGTATTAAAAGGTCACGGCATTAGGAAGGTTGAGAACCACTGGCCTAGAAAGATGACGCTCTAGAATCAGTGGTTCTCAACCTTCCTAATGCCGCGACCCTTTAATACAGTTCCTCATGTTGTGGTGACCCCCAACCATAAAATTATTTTCGTTGCTACTTCATAACTGTAATTTTGCTACTGTTATGAATCGTAATGTAAATATCTGATATGCAGGATGTATTTTCAGGGGTCGCGACCCACAGGTTGAGAACCGCTGCCTAGATGCACGTGGCTGGATCCTGTTTTCCGTGGTACACCTGGGCCTTTCCAAGAGGCATGTGTCAGTCACCATTTGGCCCTGCCTTTAAAGAAACAAGTATGTATATCCTGGAACTCAGTGATACCAACCTCCTTTTCGTAGTGAGGGTTAAACTTGAATGGCTTTTGTGAGGGCAGGCAGGTGAGATGACCAGGATCTTGTATGAATTCCATCCCTGAGATTCTGGTGGTATATTGTAAAGCTGGCAGCAGGGAATGGTTAAGTTACTTGGGATTCTGAAATTTTGGTCTCTGGAAATGAATAAAGGGCAGGTTATTGCTGGGTCACTTCTGATGGCCCCTGCCCTCCCAAACCCACGGAATTTCTCTCTTTGTTGTGGATGGGCACACTTTAGTCTGTCCAGCCAGACTGGATGTTTGTTCTGCATTTCAATACTTTAGACTCATCCTGTCAAGAATTTAGCCTTTGCCCAGGCGTCATATTAGTGGTTCATCTCGTGGCTTTTGACCTATTTCCTTTCCTATTCATTCCATGTAAATGATAATGTTAAAGTAACAAGTACTATGCGTTGTGTGTCTGACTTCTCTGTGCACTTATTAGGCCACCAGGCAAGGTGGAAGTGAACAGTGCACCGAAATTCAAAGGCCAGTCTCTTGCAAATAAGCTGTTCATCTTTATAGCACTTTAAAAGTCTGGAGAAGTTGTTGGTAGAAGTTATGTACCTCATTAGTGCCAATTCTAGGGAAAGTTCTTTTCACCATAGATACTAACCCTGGATCCTCTAGGACCTGGCTGAGCTGAAAATGTCAAAATGCACACCCCTGGCTGCCTCCAGTTCCGTCTGACAGTGACGGTGTGACCAGCATTGCTGAAAAGATCTAAACAGGACAAGTGGGGTGGCTAATGTAGGACCCATCTGCCTGGATGGGAAAATTGGTTAGAGGCTTTCCTAGTTCCCAAAGAGATTTTTTAAAAAAGGAGGGGGTGAGAAAAACAGCTAGACAGAGAGAAATGAGTTGCTCAGCCCCAAGTTTCCAAGGTTGAAACTGCATTCCATTCCATTGTCTTTGTCTAGGTGACTCCAATAGGAGTGGCCACGCTCACCTAGAGAAGCATCTCAGAGACCAGGAAGGATGCTGTTCAGGCCTTTGTAATTGAGCCCAGGAGCTGTTTCAGCTTCTGAAAGGAGGGTTTGTCTGCCTGCCTTCTAGAGCTGCTGCTTTGTTTTGGCTCAAAAGAGGGATCCAATAGTTTTGGTACCTGAGGAGTTTGAATCAAGCTGCGAAACCAGGACCTCCCTGGGTGAAAATCAAGGCAGTCTGTGTTCGGCTTCACCAAGCATTTCCAGTTTCCCCAGCAGGGGGATGGGAATGATCAAGGGAGCGCACAGGGAGCCACACTCATTAGTGGAGGTACACAGACCGCACAGCAGTGAACAGCGGAGAACGGAGAACAGGGAGTGCTTTCCTTTAGGAAAAACTCCAGCCCCTTCCACAGGCTCCCGAAAATGAACGTTCCCCACAATTCAGGGTCGTGTGCAGTGTAGGGAAGGCAAAAGAGTAAATCAGGAGACCCGAGTTCCAGCTGTACCGTGGTGTGTGGTTTGGGTGAGCCACTGCATACCCCTGAATCATTCTGTACTAAAACTCTGACTCTGAAACCTCCGTTCCCAGCATCCATCATCCTGCCCCTGCCCCTCACCCCCGCCCCCAGCTGGGTCATTCAGGAAGTACCTAAAACTTACAAATGTAGGTTTAGGTAATATGGGGGTTTTCTTCCTCCTTCCCCCATACTGCTCCACAAAAGTGTGTCTCTTCCTGGAATCCCATTTGGGTAGGCAAAAGTTGTACTCTGTGGCATTATTATAATATCTCACTTTAAAGTTTTCAGCTCTTAAGGTTTTCCTTTGAAAGCTCTTTCATTTAGGAAGCAAAATGATAGCTAATGTGTAAGTGTGGCTGTCCTGTGGCATGAAAGGTGTGGAGATGCCAAACATTGTGACCGTTTGGGAACGACGGCCGTTCTCACACTCCACTCCTCTCCTGGGTACTGGGGTCTGTTAATTTTGTGAATTTCAAGTCATTTTCTTTCTGCTTTCTGGACTCAGAAAAATGGCTTGCTTGAAATGCAAGGAGCAGACATCATCAGTCTGATATTCCTCCTTAGCATTTGCTCCATGGGGAAGCCCAGTGTGATTTGTGGATGAAGATGCTAGTGATGAATTTACTGTTTGCCAATTCGCTGCTTTTCCTTCCATCTCACTGGGCCACGTGTTCAGCTGGACAGCCAGCCAGCTCCCCTCGGGGGTTCTTGCAGATGTGCCTCGCCTCCTGGCACATCAGGTGGGACCTGTTACAAGTGAAATACTTGAAACTTTTCTGGGGCCAACAGCCTCTGACACCACTCTGCTGGGTGGGAGGCGGGCTCTTTCTGACCAGATTGGGGCACCATTCAGCCACTGGTCACATTCCGCACTTCAAACTGAAATTCAGTTTGGCTTTGAGTATAGGGACACATGGTGGTGGACTCATCTACTTCGGTGTTTGTTTTGACCAAAAGTTTATTTTTCTAATGCATTTTCTAAGTCAAAGTGGTGAAAACATGTAATTTTAGTATGCATGACTGAGTCTCCAACAATAAAAATCCCTGTAAGGACGAACGTGTGTGGAGTCCCTTTGTGACAATGGCAGCTTGGATTACAGTTCTGAAGCTTTGTTATTCCTGGTGTGCAGGCCCGGCAGAGCCTCCCTGCAGCGGAGGCAGGTTACTGACAGCACAGTGCGTCCTGCAGACGCAGGGCTGCTGCGCTGGAGATCACGTGCAACTAGAAGATACCGGTGTGCAGAGGAGGGTGGGGCTGATGCCCAGTGGTGCAGTGTGCACATTTTTTGGTTCTCAAGGCCCAGATATACTTTCTGGACCAGCCCTGAATCCTAAGTGATAGCGAACAGTTCCTGAGAGCTCAAGTGGGCTGAGCATGATGGTGTCCTTCACATAGATAATCTCATTTAATTGTCAGGCACCCTTAGTGAAGTGGGATTATTGCCCCTGTGGGATAAATGAGACACAAGTTGAGCATTTTGTCCGAGGACACACAGCTATTCCAGTACAACTGGGATTCAAAGCCAAGGCAGTCAGCCCACTATTTTCTGCTGATGGTGCTAGGCTGTGCACTTCTCTTTTATTCTTACTGTCAGCCCACGCACGGAACACAAAAGGGAGGAACTTTTAGCGTGAGGAAGCATCAGTCTAAAAATCGGCTTTATTTTTTTTTTGGCTTCTTAGAAAATACAAAGCAGAGTGTCTTAACTTCTGACACCCACGTTGTAATGGACACATTATTCTAGAAGCTCCTACAAGTAAACCCAGACTCCTTGGGAGGTCACGGGTACGGCCTGGTCAATGGCCTCTGCATGCTGAGCCGTTCCTCTACCTGTCCCATTTGTTTCTATAGAGGAGCGCGCACTCTGCCCCAGACAAAGCCCAGGCCCTACGGTGGGTCTTGTGTGTTGGTGATGACTCAGCTGAGAAACACTCCTGCAGGATGTCCGTACGTTCTCTGTTGGCTTCTGATGACTCGACAGGTAAGTACTCGCATTGCAACATCGCTCTTCAGGTCATCCTTCCCGGAGGAACCTGTGGAGCTTAAGCTCTGTTTCTCACATCTGGAAAAATGGAGCTAATGGCTCCAACCCTTCTCACCTTATAGCAGTGTTACAAGGTAGTTAGGACGCACTTTATAAGCCACTGGAGTTACTGTCTATGTTATGAGTCAGCATTTTCTTGTTTCTTTTCTAAAATACCTTAGTTTCCCTACTGCCCACTCTTTACATAGTACTGGTTTGGCATTCCTATAATAAATGGCAGCAGATGTTTCACATTATTGCATTTATAGCTGAGTAATAAAATCATTTAAGGTGCCACTTTGCTGGGAAAAAATGTTTTTAACTAAATGTTCACCCTCTTACCTGATAAGGTGCCAGCCACTAGGGATACAGTGACCTAGTAAGATACTAGCTACTGCCTTAGCGGATTACTAACTTTCCTTTATTAATGATGGGTAAGCCTAGAGAGCCAGCTGACTCCCCTGTAGGTTCAAGCAGTCTCTAGTTTATCTTGTCTCCTACATCCTAGTAGGCCAAGGGACAATGGGGCCTAACCGAAGAAAACTAAGTCAGCCTGGGGTTTGTTTCTGTGTAACTGAGGGCAGATCACTAAGTTCTCTAAGCGTTGGTTTGACCCGGAAAAGAGAGAATCACCACCACCTTGCAGGGGTGTGGACAATGCCTGTTCATTGCTTGGTACATGTAGGTATTTATGTGGTAGTCATGACTGTTCTTCACCCGAGGTTACAGGCATCGCATGGTGAGTCACCCAGCAGGACTTAGAACATCACTGAGTAGGTAACACGATGGATACAATAGACCAACACAAAGGAGTAAAGAGATGAAATGCTGCTCCCGTTAGTAAGCACAAGCCTGGTATCTGCCATCCATCTGCAAAGATCAAATGCATGACTCATATTACTGAATACT